AGTTCAAATCCTGCCTCAGACATTATTTTGGGGTTCTGGGTAACAATAACAACAACAGCAGCTAGCGTTTATATAGTGCTTGTAAAACACTCTACATGTATCTCATTGTGTCCTCACAGTCACCCTAGGAAGCAGGGTCTATTATTATCCCCATTTTGCAGATGAAGAACCCAAAGCAGACAGAGGTTAAGCAATTTGAACATGGTCACATAGCTAGCAAGTATTTGAGGATAGATTTGGACTCGGGTCTTCCTGAGTCTATCCACTCTATGCACTACAGATTTAGCCATAGCAAGCTTAACATTTCTTCACTCTGCCTCAGTGTCTCCATAAGATTAATGGATTATACATGATGAACTCTAAATTCCCTTCCCATTTTCAATTCATGATCCTGTACTCCACAGGACCAAAAATATCTGCCTGGGAAAAATATGATCAGATGAACCCTGGCATTAAGTGTAGTTGTTCAGACAGAAATAGAAACTGGGGGATGCAAGGTCTCATTCAGTGGCTCTTAATTCTCATCCTGGGATGAAGGAAGAATCAAAATAGAACAGAATAGAATAATCTAGGTAATTGCTTCATCCCTCAATTTAACAGCCTAAAGAATTAGCTGATGCTACTTACTCAGGCATATTCAGGGTAGAAGTGATTAAGTTGGTTGTGTTAGGGCCTCCAGTCACTGAATCCCAACATGACTAATGATAGAACACTAGGTTTACATAATCCCTCCTTGCATTTCCAACTGGAGTGGACATGTTCCTTTGCTCACCTTACTCCCTGTGGGTACAGGATGCTTCATCACTTCATCAGGCAAGGAGCCGGTACTTAGCCCTGGATGGTATAAGTAGGCCCTATTCAGCGTGGGTTATATGGATTTGCCAGGGAAAGCAATTGCTGCCATTCCTTGTGGGAGAAAGGTTGTATATAAGTAAAAAAGATAATTATTTGTGACTAACAGCACACTGCAGCCTTGTAGCAGAACAGAACTGACAGCCCTGGTAAGATGCAAGCTTGACATCAATTTAAACATCTAGTAAAAATTGGATTTGGTTGTCTCAGGACTGCAGGGCTATGCCTGCACATCCACACTGTTTGGGGAGATTGGCAGCTCAATTAAGTCAAAGCAAATGGTTATTTTCAAAATGTCTGGTTAATGATTAAATTGAATTAATCTGTTTTAATTTTTTTTTTTTTTATCCCTCAACCAGTTTCAGTGTAGTGCATTCTAGATTTGGAATTCAGAGGATTTGGTTTCAAATCCCAGTTTTGCTAGCAGGGCGGTAACCTAGGCAAGTCACTAGGTCTTAATTTCATCTGTAAAAGGAGGAGGTTGGATCAGATAACCTCTGACGTTTATTTCAGCTCTGACTGTGCAGAAATGAGAAGTATAATGGTAGAGGAGATAGAGAGTTGACCTTGGAGTCAGAAAGACATGGATCCAAGTTCTTCTTCAGATACATAATGATGGTGTCTCCATGGTCAAGTTCCTTATCCAGGCAACTCTTTATAAGTTACAGATGAGAAATCACATAACAGTGGAGGGTCTTTAGATCCTAGAAGTTTTCCATACGGATATAAACACCCTACAGAAGCAGCCAGAGTTAATCTGCATATTAATTAGGTGGTTGAGGTGGTGCATTTCTTTCAGAAGTGTCAAACTCAGTTGCTTTTGAATGGAGGACTTTATCACATCAAATTTTCTAGATGCTTGAAATAATTATCTCCAAAAGTGCCTAATTTAACCAAGAGCCTAATTTATGATCTGACAGGGCATCACATAAAAATAATAAAAATGATAGCTCACTTGTATTATAGCAAATTAAGCTTCAATGTGTGCTTTTTTGAAGACAACTCTGTCTGGTGAGCTGTACAATTATTGCTCTCCCTGTTTCATGGATGTGGTGGCAGCTTTGATGATCTCTGGTTCTTGTGCCAGGCAAAGTATAGTATAAATGCAAGGCGTGGTTCAGTACTTTTTATCCCTGTACCTGGGTTTCTTTTCCTCCTCAAATCCTGCTATGCCCCTCAGGTTGGACAAAGAGGATCAGGAACCAATTAAACACTACCAAGACCTAAGTAAAGGACAAGAAAGGGTCCATTTATGGGATATTATAAAATATTAATATGAAACTAGAAGTATGAGAAGGTGAAGATCCGTTTTTGGTATGGCTCATTGAATATTCACCTAGAAGGGGACTTAAAATTACCTAACTCAACCCCCTTATTTTAGAGGTGAAAAAACCAAGACCTAGGCATGTTTAATGACTTGCCTAAAATTAGTTATGATAGGATCATAGTTATACAACTGGAAGCAACCTTAGAGGCCATTGAATCTAAATGCTTCGTTTTACATATAATGAAACTGAGGCACAGCTTGTTTAAGTGATTTATAAGGTTGTATGGATCATAAGTGGCAGAGCCAAAATTCAAACCCAGCATTCTTCCTATTATACCATGCTGCCCAAGGTCTCTGACCACAAATACTGGAGTCTTTTCTCCAATAACCAACAGCTGGACTGGTGAGAGAAACCAGATGGCCACCACCTTCCACATATCTTGAGGTTACTAGTGTCTGAACTAACTCATTTTTTGTGATCTTCCTAATTAACAGATAAATCATCTTAGAATGACTAAACTATGTTGAATATAATAGTTTTTTGTGTGTAACATTTTCAAGATGGAGAAGATCAGAACTGAGAGACTTAAATGGTCCAGCCCCCCTCATTTTACAGATGAGGATCCTAAGGCTCAGATGTGTTCAGTGAATTGTTCCAGTACACACATATATTAAAGTGAAAGCCAGAATGCTAACCTACATCTTTAATTGCAAATCCAATATTCCTTCTACAATATCAGACTGCTTTGGCCTAGGTCCTACTTGAACTGGTGCCAAGAGAATATTCTGTTTGTTTTTTGTTTTGTTTTTTGTTTTTTGGGGTTTTTTTGCTGTATGTTTAAATAATTGTCTTATTGTGAAACCTGATACCCTGGGGAGGGGGACAGAGATATTATTCAGCAATCTGAGGGCAGCGAGGTAGTGAAAACAAATGTTATGTCAAGAATAAATTTCCATTGTTCATCATTTCTGCTGAAGAAGAATCACAGGCTCAGAACGAGAGGGAGAAATCATCCTGATAGGAGACTTTCTAGGCACAAGAGTAAGAGAGCATGGGCCTTCTAAGCTTAGGAATGCCATGGCACATTGCATTCAGAAAAAAAGGGAACCCCCCCATGCCAGCCAAGGGCAATAAATACAGGATATAATTGTACCACTCAAATCAGAGACAACTGTTAGAGTAGAGTTAGGAAACTTTAAAGGATTGGGCCTATGTCTCTAAGGATTTAAAGTAGGGGAAGACTGATTTTTTTTTTCCAAAAAGGAAAAAGGAGAAACCAAGAAAACTAAAGAAGTCCTGCATTTCTCTATAGGATCAGTTTCAACTACTAAAATTCTACAACTTACTACCTTTTCCTTTGATTGATAACATACCTCCTTCCCCAAATGTATGGGTCTCTGTAATGCTTAGCACTAAGACCCTTCAGGACACCTAGAAGAAGGTGTAGTTGTGCTGTTTTCTAGGAGCAGGGCAAGGGAAAAAGAAGTGCCTATATTTGCTTCTCTACAGGGAAAATTGAAATGAGACAGTGTCTAGTGGAAAAAGTATTGGATCTGCAGTTCAAATCCAGAATTCAAATCCAGGCTGTGCAACTTAACAGTTGGGTGAGGCACTCAACCTTGCTCAACTTCAGTTTCCTCATCTGTAAAATGGGAACCATCCTTGAACTTCCTACCTCACAGAATCATTGTGAGGCAAATATTCTTCAAATCCTAAAGCTGTATGTTGTTATTGGGGTGAAACCTAACTCAGAGAGGAGAGTTGGTAGTGGTGAAAAACCAGGTGGTTTTTACCTGGTTAAACCAGGTATACCATAGAATTCAGTCCTAGCTAGAGATTTCTGGCTGAAGAAAAGAGTGGGCTGTAATTCTATATAATCTTTAATGTATTAAAAAGATGAAAAATCTCTAGTATCTCATCACTTTTTTATTCCAGAGGAAAAAGTGATACATCACATGATTGAGCCATACTTTGATATATCCATCAATTACTCTGTCCACCAGTGCTAATTGTAATCTACCCACTCCTTCTGTAAAGGAAAAAATCTCCCCAACAAGCTAGAAGACTTCCTCTGGTTTTGTTTTTTTGTTTCTGTTTTTGATAATTCATTGTTAGCCATGTAGCCCCCAGGCTGTCCATCTGAGCAGCCCACTTCCTTTTCTAATCATCCCTAATGATAACTTTGCACCATTACTCTCACACAAGTCAGCCTTGGTAATATGCTGCAGCCTGCCTACCATTAATCTTCACTGGTCTTTAGGACGTCTCCCATTTGTGTTCTTCTGAAATGATGGTGTCCTATGATAGGCAGCCATATTATATTGCTAGGAGAATAGTGATGTTAATAATATAAGCCAGTAGGATCTTGAGATTATTAAAAGAACTGCACATTGAGGGATAATAAATTTAAAATAAAAGTATTTTTGTTTTTCTTTGAAATCTAAGAGTATTAATAGTAATAGCTACTAATAACTAGTATTTATATAGTACCTTAAGGTTTACCAAGCACTTCACAAATATTATTTCATTTGACTCTCATAACAACCCTGGAAGGTAGCTACTACTATCATTTCCATTTTACAGATGATAAAAATCAAGACAATGAAGAGGTTGTGACTTACCCAGGGTCACATAGATATTATTAAGTGTCTGAAGCCAGATTGGAACTTAGGTCTTCCTGACTGCAGGCCCATGGCTCTAATTATTGTAGCATCCAGCTTCCTATAGACAGAGGCTATTTAAATAAGCCATTGTTTGCCTTCTCCAGTCTTTGTATCTCAACAACCCTTCACTAACACGTTTACTTAGAATGGATTCATCAAATTTTTCTTCTCCAATTATTACAAAGATAATGTGTAGTGATGCTGATGCTCTTTTCAGGATAGGGTGTGGGCCAATGTGGGAAAGAGCCTCAACTGCATCATTGCCATGGTGGATCAGTTACTTGAAAAAGATGGTGGTATCAATGGCAGCAGCAGCGGCGGCGGAGGCAGCAATGACAGTGCTACCAATGGTGGCGGCGGCAGCAATCCCACAGAAGGTGAACAGGATCCTTCACTAGCAGATCCCATCACAGCACACAAAAGTGGTAAGAAACCTTCCCTCTCCCCACACCTGCACTTCATTGACTGAGTAAATAAAATGAAAAGGGCATGATAAAATGAGACAGAAAACGAGTCAATAATGTCTTTGATAAAAGTGCTGATAGCATGCCTTTGCACAGTCCTGGCTTTGGATTATGGAAGGCTATTTATCAAATTGCATCTAGCTTATGTTCTCAGAACTGCTGGCAATGCTCATTTTTTCCCCCTGTGGTACATAGAAATCTTCTTGAAAGACTAAAAACGGTTTCATTTATTTTTTTTTAAAAGATCAGACATTGTTTAATCTACTTTAAACCATTCCTAAAAAGTATTGGAAAGAGGAACAAGAGTTTGCATGAAACCATAGCATCTTAGGAGGAAATTATGACAAGTCACCTCAAATAGATCTTCAACAAGTGGCAAAGGAAAGGTGTATGTGAAATATGGTGGAGAATAATAATAAAAAACCATTGGAAGTCTAGGTTTCTATAGATGAATCTTATTTTCAATTATGCATACCAAGGACCATCAATATATATGGTTATTACAAGGAAGTGAGAATAATGTGTACACTAGCCAGATAACATATTGATGTTTAAAGATGCTGATGAAAAATAAAACTTTAAGGCTATATCTCCATGCAACATATTTTTAAAGTTTAATTTAGGGTTGGCACTTATATCATTAATCAATGCTAGCAACCAAATCTGATAATGGAGGAGATGAGAAAAAGAAACATTTCTCCGTCTTATAACAAAGCAATTCTTAATATTAAATCCATGTCTGGTTCTTGCGCTTTTGAAGGAAGAATTAGGAGGAAGAGAAGTTTTTGTCTCACCTCGTTCTAATACTTCCTCATCCTTTTGTTCCATGGAAATGAGTCACTAATAAATTTAGATACTTGTGACTTTAAATTTGTTATTCCAATTGTTGTTTTCACTTCCAGGATTTCTCTTTTTGTCAGTAGTTTTCAGTCATTATTAACAAATGTCAAATTATGGGGAAACATGTGGGTTTCCAAGTTTTTTCCTGAAGATGACTTCACCTTCTCTTTTCAGCCCTCACAACTAGATGACAAATTGGTACCAGAGTGTTTTCTGCTTCTCAAACCCATCTATTCAGACTGTATGTTCCCTCTATCTCCCGATGGAAATAGTGTTTTGGGTTTTTACAGTATATAAGTAGGATTAATTTTATTTTCCATTGAATTCAGTGCCATGCATTTATCTGAATCAAAAAGAAAACACACCTCAGCAATATGGGAAAAGACATGAGGTCACTTTGCAAACCCCTCTTTTTTTTTTTTCCTCTGCCGAGTGATGAGTTTTGAAGAGTTATTCTTTTGAGAAGGGATAAGATAAGGAAGACAGGATTTGACAACTATTGTAATGTTTTCTTTAGAAAACTTCTACTCAGAGGGGAAAAATACGGAAGTATGGAGAAATTTGATATTTATCCATCTACCAACTTGTGCCTCTTAGGTCAGAAAGTGAATTGAGTCCAAGACTGTGTCTACATAACACTGAACAATACATAATACGCAATAAAATCCTTTAGTCAGTCATTTGGGTTTGGTTATAAAGGTGTTTGGCAATATCCAATCCAATTAAAAAAAAATAAGCCCTTACTATATTATGGGCACCACACAGTATACTGGCAATAGAGAGAAAACAACACCCTCCCAAAATAGTCTCTCTCAAAATAGTCCCTGCCCTCAAGAGGAATACATTCTGCTGGGGAAATATGACATGGAAACAAATATGTTCATACATTTAAGGATTAGGGGCAAAGCATTAATAACAAAGAGAATCATTATAAAAGGCAAATGTAGGAAATGACAGAGGGTGGACCAACAGTGTGGAAGACAGAATGATTTTTTTTCATTTCTCATTTAAATATTTTGGCATTGTTTGGCTTTAACTGTACTTCTATTCTTTGCAAATATGAAGTGAATGATTCCATTTTTATTGATGGCTATCTATGCACTGCCAGAGTATTATAGTGTTTAATCAGTCTTATCATGGCATCCATGTTATATTCGACTAGGAATTTATGATACTTATCTTTAATCTATGCACCCTTCTTAGGGGTAAAAGGACTTCTAAATTGCAAGATTGCTTTTAGCCAATAAGACAAAAATAAAATGTTAGCCCGTTTTGGCTATTAAATATTTCATAAACTAAAGATGGTGTAGCAAATTCAAGATTAGAGTTTGCATTTGCTCTTTTCCTGTGCAGGTAGATTTGTGTGAATCATTTGGAGATGACATTGGGCACCAAGACAAGCATTTTGTAAGGGACATACAGAATTATTTGCACTCAGAAAAAAAGTCCATTTTCATCTGTTCCCCGGTACATTTAAATAAATGACCCCTGCTACTCCAAATCCAAGCAGAATTTGATTAGCCTTATTTTTTCTTATAGAACATCTTAGCTTTGCTCTCATCCTAGGAGTGAAAGTACCCTCAATTTCCTCTCTGGCTCACATAGTATAAAACAAGTCAGTGGGGAAATTGATTCTGAGATAACTTTTAGTGGTTTCTCTACTATTCCAGGAAGTTTTCACATTGAAAGACCTTACACTGTGTGTTCCTTTGGAACATGCTGGCTTCTTGACCTGTATATTTCATGCATCAAATCCAAGGTATTAATAATACCTCTCTTGTCCAGTTCACAAATTAATCCTTAAGATAAAAGAAATATAACCAAGAGAAATGATTCTTTCCTTGCTGCTCTCAGTATAGCTAAGGAAATAAACCTCTAGTTTTTGTAATTTGGATCTTCTAAGATCTGCCTTTGGCTTTCAGTTGATTTCAATTAAAATTATTGCTTAACTGCCCACTATTTTCCCAGCACTATGGATATGCAAAAGAAGGCCATGGCATTATTTTTACCCTCAAGGAGCTTACAGTCTGTTGAAGGAGATGAGACGAAGACATGCAAAATTATTCAGGAGCAATATAAGACAAGTTTAAAAAAACTGTGAGACGAGCAAGAAAGTAACATTGTGGTTTGAAAAGGATTCATACAAGAGGTTGTATTGGAAGTGGACTTTGCTAAATGGACAATATTTCACAGAATAATAGAATATTAGTTTTGCAAATGTACATCAGACATCATCTAGCCTAATTTGTACCAGAAGAGAAATCTCCTCTATAATATTCCTGTCTCTCTTTTACTTAAAGAACTCTAATGATGGAAAATTCACTACCTTTGCTGGTGCTCTCACTGAATTTTTGGACCACTCGTAACTATTCAGAGATTTTTTTTCTTACATCAAGCTAAATATGCCTATTTGCAATTTCTGCTCTGTGTGTGTGTGTGTGTGTGTGTGTGTGTGTGTGTGTGTATTTGTTTGTGTTGGGTTTGTTTCTGTCTTCAAGATCTGTGACTGCATTAGTATGTTGGGAAGGCTGGGGGTGAGGTGGGGTGGAATCATTTGATACACAGTTGCCTAAAAGAAATCCTGGCTTTATTGAGAAGTTAAGTGATAAATTAAGTTCAGTTACCTTGAGTATTAGAAGGAACACTTAAACCCCATATCTTCAGGACTTCAAGGCCAGTCTCTATCACTTTACCACATTGCCTCTCACCTCTTTACATACAATAAGCCCTTAATAAATGTTTTTGGATTGAATTGAATCCAGGAGATAGTTGTACAAGAATAGGACTGATTAATGGACTTGATTACATGATGAACATGTTGTTGTTTGTCCTTCATTTTCTTTTTGTTTTTTTTGCTTGTTTGTTTGTTTTGTTTTTTGGCTAGGCAGTGGAGTTAAGTGACTTGCCCAGGGTCACACAGCTAGTAAGTGTTATGTATCTGAGGCTGGATTTGAACTCAGGTCCTCCTAAATCCAGGGCCAGTGCTCTATCCACTGCGTCATCTAGTTGCCCTGTGTCTTTCATTTTCTTTTTTCTTTTTCTTTCTTTCTTTTTCTGTCCTTTATTTTCAAAGAGGGCCAATGTCATCATAGGGTAATGTTTTGTCTTGTACATGAATTGGATTTAAGTGAGGCAGAATTGCACAAAGTTGTCAGCCTCACTATCTCTTCCAGAGTCATTAAAGTCCAGTGGCAAGACAAAAGTTAGGACAACTGGTGATGGCCCAGGATGCAGTGGATGACCTTGCCACCTCAGATTTCTGACCAAGCTCTAAGTGCTCCATAGCGCCTGCTTCACTTGCCTTTGTGGCTGTTGAAACAAATTGTTCTCATCTCCTCATTCCACCAGGGAAGTCTCACCTGCTTGGAGTACACACTCCCTAGTTCACCAACAGGTTTATGGCCTGTGGTTACCCTTAACCTGGTTTAACCTGTCTGCCGAGACAGTTTACCAGGGTGTGGCTACTGCACATGCTACAGCTTCTTGGAGCCACAGGTAACAATTGAGTGACAGGTGGACACCAAAGATGGATAAGCAACCTTGAAAAGGGCTTGGCAAGCCCTCATATCCCACATGATAAACACAGCAAATGAAAGTAAGAGTCAAAAATGAATGCGAGTTTCTGCTCTAGTTCAACAGTGATGTTACCATTGGTCATAGCAATGGGTTGGTTTGATTAGGTGAGAAAGCTTGAGTTTGGGGCATATTGAGATTGAGATGACAATGGAAAATCCAAATGGAAATTTCCTTAAAGAAGTTAGAAATTGTCCTTAATGTGTTTCAAAGTTATAGGATCTCAGAGTCCTCAGTCTTTTCATAATGCCTGAAGCAGTTAGTTTACCTCCAGGAAGAAAGGATAATGAAGAGTAAAGAGCCAATGACAAAATATTAGGCATCCGTATTTATGGAGTGGGAAAAAGAGTCTTCTAGGAGAAACTAGAGAAGGAGGAGCTTAAAGATATAAAAGGAGAACCTAGAAACGTCTCAAAATCCAAAGCAGGAGATTCCAAGGAAGATGCACCAGCCAAGTGTGCTTGAAGTTGACATTAACCTCAAGTAGGTTGGTTTTAACGCTGCATTTCCAAATTCACGGATTGATTTTCTTAACAATAGCACTGTGG